AAAGCTGTCTCTGTCTCTTCCTTCTTCTTCGATCTCCTGGATTATTGGAAATTGGGGACCCTCCCCGCTACAAAATGGCGCCCAACGTGGGGCTGGAGAACAGGAAGAAGGAAAGGTAAGCTTTTGGGGGCTGATGCCTCTCACTCGGTGGGCCGGACAAGGCATGGATCAGGGGAGACGAAAAAGGGTACCCACAAGAAAAAAATCGCCTCCACTGGCCTGTTCCTTCCTCGGCCCCTTGACTGAAGTGCATTGAGAAGTAACAGCTGCAGTTCCAGAAAAAGGGAGAAGCTAGCTTTTTAAGGTATAGGCATTTGTGGAAATGCCTGGGGAAACATTTTTGGGGGAACAGTTTTTTTCAAAAGAGGTACTGCAGACCTCAAGAAAAAAAAAAAACCCCTGAGTGTCGCTTTCACCACAGAAGGCTCACTCCTAGGTTGGGAAAAGTGCACTTTTTAAAAAAGGGAAAAAGTGTTCAGGTTGGAAACATTGTTATGTTGATCCTATGTGTTGTGTATTGTGGAATCTGGATGTGTCTATATGCATTGTCCCTTCTAGCTGCTTTGCAACCGTATGTTTGTTTCTGTTTTTGCTTTGTTTCTTTGTTAAATGTCAGTATGTTCAAAATGAAAAGAGACTAATGGTTATAGGCTTCCGAGAAAAAGCCAAAAGAAAAAAAGAAATGATGATGAAATGAGAAAAAAAAAGGAAAAGAGAAAAGAAAAATATATGTGAAATATGTGTCTGTCTTTTGGGAAAAAGGGAAAATGTTTGTTTGCATTTCCTGAAAACTTGAATGTGTGTATGGCTAGCCAAAAGAATGTGTGTAGCTGTTAGTGTTGAGAGAAATAATCTTTACAGGTTTCAAATAAAAGGAAAAAGAGGATAATTCAGGAAAAACCTGGAACCATACATATGATGGGGAAAGACCAAGTATGTGGGTAAGAGAAAAGTCACCCAAGAAGAAAGTTAAGGTATGTTGAGAATATGTTGAGAAAGCAAGGGGAAAAGTAAGTCAGAAGAGAGAGAATTTGGTTAATCACAGGAGAAAAACCAGAGTGTGTGATTACCATGTGGGAAAAGAAGTGAAAAGAGGGAGAATGGGAATGTAAAAGAAAGTCATACAGTAGTGATGAAATGTTAGTACAGAAGTAAAGAGGGATTAAAGATAATGAAAGAAAAACTGTTGAGATGTGTGAGATTAAGAAGTGTGAGAACTGAATGATTAGATTCCTTTTTGAGAAGAGAATTGCAGTAAAGAATAAATGAGTGTATGTATGAAATCAGTTTTGGGATGAATAAGATGGTTGTGTTGAGGTTGTGTGAGGTTGTGTGAGGTTGATTGTTTGCAAATGCCTGGTGGGGTTAAAAAGGGAAATTATGTGCTGAGAGTATTCAAGAATGGCCACTTGAATGCCCTCACGGGGAAAGAAAAATTGGAAAAACTTTTTTGGAAAAAAAAATTGATATTAGTTTTGAAACTGTTTGAGAGAGAGAAAAAGTAGTGACAATTTGAGATGCATTTAAATTTAGAAGATTTTGTGGGGAGAGCTGTGATGAATTGAATGTTATGGGGTTAAATTGCTAAAATATTGAGATGCTTTTTAAGGTTCAAAAATGTTAGTAATTGAATTGGTAGAAGAATGAAGATAAGCTGTTGCAATATGATGTGAAAGTGGAGGAGGATTAAGCATCAAGGAAAGAAGTACAGATTTTAAAAATGTTAATTAATTACTTGTTACAGTATCCCCCTGTTTTACCAGAGGATTTAAAGTGGCTGAAAGATCCTGGGGAGTGTGACACCTGAGACAGGAGTGAAAGGGGTCTGCTACTTGATGAATTCCTATTGGTACGAGGAAGTGTCAAATTGAGGATGAACTAAGCTTGCTTAAGAGAGAAGACTACACAGCAGAGGACCCTGACTTACAGCAAATAAACTTAAGAGTTGGATGATTGAATAAAGAACTAATTAAACCATACATAAATAAAATAAAAAGACATACTTCAAAGACTTAAAACATAAGAGAATAAAGTTGCCCTGAATAAGAGAGAGACTTGGTTTTTGAAACTGCAATCAAGCAAGAAGAAAGAAGAAAGAAGAAAGAAGATTTAATGGACTTTTTTGGTGAGGGGAGTGTGATTGTGGGACTCCTTATTATCTTGGGGTTGGTCTGGGTGGTTTACTATTATAGGCATGTTTTATGGGGGAAAGCTTATTCATTTTGGAATGTGGAATACTTATTACCTGATTGTGTTGAGTGTGATTGCCCCGAAGTTAGTGTAGGGAGGATGGGAGCAGAATATATTCCACCAGATGATTCGGGATATAGCGAATGAAACAGAAGTTACTGAATGTTGGATTTGTAGTCATGGGCCTACTTCCCAGCGTGAGGGATGGCCACTAATGGTAGGAACATTATTAAGCCAAAAAGGATGGAGCACTTTACGGCCTCAAAATTATGAGATGACTGAAACTTTACTTGATCCAGGACAAGCTATAGTAACGTATGAAGGGACTTCGCCGGAGGCCCCAGCATGCATTACTTGGGAGAAAGATGAGAGATGGACCCAAGATAGGGACAACCCTCTCCACACACACCAAATAGAACTTGGTCATTATCCCAATTGCAATCTCCTTCTCCATGTATTCAAAACAGAGGTTTCTGAAGACATTAGCCTCCTAGCCCGTTTGGAACACTCAAGAAGGGTAAAAAGATTTGATGGAGTTGTTTCACCAGAATTGGGCACTCACATTAAACAGGRCCAGGCAAAAGTAGCCAGTAGGAGTCGTGATRCACCAAAGYCTCCTATCAAAGGGCTGCCTCAGGGCCAGGGGGAACCACCTGTTGAAAGGCCACAGCAGAGTAGAGGAGAATCAAATCCTGCAAAAGTGGTAAAAGGGGTGGAAGCCCACCAGGAAGTGCCTAAATCGTTGATAGCCAAGGGAGGCTTGTCTCAGGGATTGTATTGGATCTGTGGACAATGGGCAGGAAAGATTTTACCGCCTTTTTGGGAAGGTACGTGCACGATTGGTACCCTGATGCTAGCAGATGTGACAATATACCCAGAACAACAATCCCAGGTGACTTGGAGAAGGGAGGACTTCAAATTCTCCAGTCATTGTTTATAGGTACTGAAACATCTTAATTCCTCTGTGTTGAATATTAATTAGATTTCTCTGTGTTAATCAATTCTACTATGCTTCAAACCCTACTATTGATAATCCCCATCTCCATTGAACTAACCCACAGTAATATCTTTCAAAGTCAATATGATATATTGATATATCTTACAGTGTTTATATGTTTTTATCTGTATTTATGTATATTATGTATCATATTTATTTGATTGTATACTGTATGTGAGACTAAATACTGCCATATTGTAAGCCACTCTGAATTCCTCTTGGAGTGAGAGAGAGCAGGATATAAATATAGAAAATAAATAAATAAAAATAAATAAATAAATATTCAGGTAGCCTCTTTAGCTAATAATATGTTCAAAACTTGTTAAGTTCAAACCTTCTTTTGCCATATTTATTATGCCATATTATTATGCAATATAATACTAATAATAATAATATGATATTGTAATTATATATTTATATTATATGTAATATTAATAATAATATTACAATATAATTGGTATAGTACAATATAGCAGTGTTTAATGCTGATATTGTACTATGCTAATAGTATAGTTTATTGTATGTATATATAGCTTGTAAGCTGCTCTGAGTCCCCTTCGGGGTGAGAAGAGCAGCATATAAATGTCGTAAATAAATAAATAAATATTAGTCAATTTTACCCTGACCGACCCCCTCTAAATATTAAATTTTCTTACTGAGTGGTTAGAATAAAAAATAATATCATTAATTAACACAATTTCTCTTAAAACCCCAGCATCACAATTTGATTTATCTCATAGGATTTTCCTATTGGAGACAGACTCTGCATATTTGTCTAAAACATATCAAATCCAGTTCCTTGTTTATTAGAATTATTTGTACCTCATATAAGATTTTGCCCTAGATTTAACTTTTAGAGATGGACAAAACCTTCTCCTGAAAGTCTTATTTATTTATTTATTTATTTATTTATTTATTTATTTACTTTGCTTATATACCGCTGTATCTCAAGCCCGAAGGCGACTCACAGCGGTTCACAAACAGTAAAAACAGTAGAAACAGCAGTGGTTCCATACAACATATAACAATTGACTTAACACATTATCCATAAATTACCAATAAGCAATTACAATGCACAATTATTACAAAAAACAACCGTACCCAATCTTCTCATCATCCAAGCGTAGTCCAGATTCGTCGTCCATTGTTCCATTCCTATGTTCCATTACCAGATTGTACTAAATTACTCAAACGCCTGCACAAACATCCAGGTCTTCACCTTTTTGCGGAATACCATTAGAGATGGTGCTAGTCTAATGTCCGTAGGAAGGACGTTCCACAGCCGAGGAGCCACCACCGAGAAGGCCCTATCTCTCGTCCCCGCCAGCCGAGCTTGAGAAGCAGGCGGGATCGAGAGCAGGGTCTCCCCGGAAGATCTCAAACTCCTGGTGGGTTCATAGGCAGAGAACCATGAATCATCTGTCAGGGTGCTTTGAATGTGATTTTCCTGCTTCTTGGCTGGGGGTTGGACTGGATGTCCCAAGAGGTCTCTTCCAACTCTATGATTCTAGGAGTCTTTGTCCTCGAATAATCTTCTCTCTTTCCTCAAGGCTTATTGTTCTAGGGTTTTTAGACTGTAGAAACATCTTAAGCGGAAGTTTCCTTTATTCCCCATGATCCTCATTGCTTGTGCTTTCATTCACTCACTATATTCAATCTCCATCATTTCCATTTTTAACAGAGTCATCATTTATCTTCTTCACCACTGGATGTTGCTGTTTAGCACTTCTTTGGTGCCCAGCTTTCTGCTTTCCAAACTGGGTTAGATTAAGTTCATCATACTTTTCCCCACAGTAGCCTGCATCAGCTAGAGACAGTTATAACTCACGGTGACAAAAGATGGGAGTTGTACAATAGCAACATTTGAATGGTCCCAGTTTCTCCATTCATTGTGTAGTATCTCAGTTTTTGTTGTAGAAAATGGTTACATGCATTAAATTCCTACTTTTCTATATTGAGAGGCAGTAAACCTGTTATTGGGTTGTTGTAGGTTTTTCCGGGCTATATGGCCATGTTCTGGAGGCAATTTTTCTCCTGACGTTTCGCCTGCATCTATGGCAAGCATCCTCAGAGATAGTGAGGTCTGTTGGAAGTAGGAAAAATGGGTTTATATATCTGTGGAATGACCAGGGTGAGACAAAGGACTTTTGTCTGCTGGGGCTAGGTGTGAATGTTTCAGCTGATCACCTTGATTAGCATTCAATGGTTTGGAAGTGCCTGGGGGAATCTTTTGTTGAGAGTGATTTTATGTGCCTGTTTGTTTCCCCTCTGTTGTTTTGCTGTTGTAATTTTTGAGTTTTTTTAATACTGGTAGCCAGATTTTGTTCATTTTCATGGTTTCTACCTTTCTGTTGAAGTTGTCCACATGCTTGTGGATTTCAATGGTTTCTCTGTGTAGTCTGACATGGTGGTTGTGAGAGTGGTCCAGCACTTCTGTGTTCTCAAATAATATGCTGTGTCCAGGTTGGTTCATCAAGTGCTCTGCTATGGCTGATTTCTCTGGTTGGAGTAGTTTGCAGTGCCTTTCATGTTCCTTGATGCGTGTTTGGGCAAAGCTGCGTTTGGTGGTCCCTATGTAGACTTGTCCACAGCTGCATGGTACACGGTAGACTCCTGCAGAGATGAGAGGATCCCTCTTGTCCTTTGCTGAATGTAGCATTTGTTGGATTTTTTTGGTGGGTCTGTAAGTGGTTTGTATGTTGTGTTTCCTCATCAGTTTCCCTATGCGGTCAGTGGTTCCCTTGATGTATGGCAAGAACACTTTTCCTCTGGGTGGATCTTCATCTTTACTCTCGTGGCTTGTTCTCGGTCTTGCAGCTCTGTTATTCATGAAATGATAAGTTAATCCATGTTGCAGTGCAGTTTCACACATTCTGATTTCTTGACCTTACTTCCTTCAGTGAGGAGGCAGATATAGTGCAGACAGGAGCCTATGTTGATCGGTGTGAAGGAATCCTGGCCCGATTGAAAAAAGTTGTCCCACAGCTGGAAATGGAAGGTGACAGGAACATCTGGATTGTCAAGCCAGGAGCCAAGTCCCGGGGCAGAGGTAAGAGAAGGTGGCACATATGGAGAAATCAAAGATGAAGAGGGAAAGATGGAATCAGCTATTATTATTATTATTATTATTATTATTAGTAGTAGTAGTAGTAGTAGTAGTAGTAGTATATTTTTCACTCCACAAAAGAAATGTACAACAAAATCAATGCAATACAATTTAAAACCCAAAAATATACAAACATTAAAATAAAATTGAATATTAACAGATTTAGTAATAAATGGCTAAAACCTGTAAAACCAACTAAAACATATTTGTAGCTAAAACCACAGCAGCCCCTGACTTGTTATTAAAAACCTCCTTTAAAAGCCTGTCTGAATAAAAAGATTTTAGTTTGCTAATGGAAGAACAACAAGGAGAGGCCCACTCTAGCTTTCCTGCAAAGAAGGAAGTTCCAGAGTTGAGGGGCAGCCACTGGGAAAGCCCTCTCTCTTTTTCCCACCAACCAAGCTTGAGAAGTGGGACTAAGAGAAGTGCCTCTCCTGAAGATCTCAGATCCTGGACAAGTTAGTACAAGGAGGTGTGGTCAGCCAAATAGCCTAGACCAGAGCCGTCTAGGGCTTTAAAGATCATAAACAGCACTTTGAATTCTGCCCCAAAACAAACTGGTTGCCAGTAGAGCTGCTGCAACAGCTCAAAAAGTGCTTCAGACTATAGTGATACCCTTGACAGAGATTGAAGGCTTCCGGAGAAGTCTGTATGATTTTCTTCATGTAAATGCAAAGCGTTTTCATGGTGTTGGAAACAGAGGAGACTGGTAGCTATTGAGACTTTTCTTGTGTGCATTAACATACCTGTTACCACAGGGATGGTGAACCTTCATTTTATGAAGTTTCATCTATGAAGTGAAGCCCCCAGCAGCACAATGGGTTAAACCTTTGTGCCAGCAGGACTGCTGACCAAAAGGTCGGTGGTTCAAATCCGGTGAACGGGGTGAGATCCTGTTTGTCAGCTCCAGCTTCTCATGCGGGGACATGAGAGAAGCCTCCCACAGGATGGTAAAACATCCACGCATCCCCTGGGCAGCATACTTGCAGATGGCCAATTCTCTCACACCAGAAGCGACTTGCAGTTTCTCAAGTCACTCCTGGCATGAAAAAAAAATGAAGTCAGGGGTCTGTAGTTGATGGTGTATACAACCAGTTGGGTAGACTGGGGAGTTGAATAGTATTTGCACTTGCGGTCTGTCATCCTGTCTCTCACCCAGCGCTACTCTGAATGAAATTAGGTTACAGGTTTCCAACTCTTAAATACACCCTGGGTTAGTCTGACACTTTAAATTCTCTGTTTTCTGTTTAATGTTTGCTGTTGATGTCATAAGACTAAAAGGTAACTTAGCTGTAGTCACAAGCTACTACAGTAACACTTCCATGGAAACATAATGGTAAGTTTGTTTCCCAGGGTTCTTCCAAAGGATTGACCCAGCCTTTAATGATGCCAGCTCAGTTCTGCCATCCTAGCTTCTGGCTGCAGTTCCTGATGCTAGTTTTACAAGGCTGCTGCTACCCTCACAAATATATCAACTGCATAAATAAAAATACTACATGAAAAGTATGTAAACTGTCAATTTCTGAGCAACATAATTGTGCATTTTAATGCCATTTAGAGAAGACTGTCTCTAAAGGAGACCTGCCCAATCCTGGTTTCAGAAAGATCTTGTGAGCTTTTATCTCGCATCCAATAGTACTATGCTAATGTGGCATCTCATGAGTGCCATTTGTAAGCCACTCTGAGTTGTCCTTCAGGGGTGAGAAGGGCAGGATATAAATGTCCGAAATAAATACATAGATAAATAATGTCGATGGGTGGGGGGATTTGATATGGCAATGAGCAAGTCTCTTCTAACAGGCATTATGTGCATGGACCACCTGGAGGAAATTGTGAAGCTAGTAGACTGTGACCCCATGATTGTCAAGGATGGCAAATGGGTTGTGCAGAAATACATTGAGACACCTCTACTCATCTTTGGTACCAAGTTTGATCTGCGCCAATGGTTCCTGGTGACTGACTGGAATCCACTTACCATTTGGTTCTATCGGCAGAGTTACATCCGCTTCTCTACCCAGCCTTTTTCTCTACACAACCTGGATACGTGAGTTTTGCATTCTCAGTCTTCTTGCCTGGGTGTGGTATTATATTCCATGTGGATATGTGGAAATAAGAGGGAAGTGGGAAGACGGAGTAAATATGAGCAGTAAAGGATATGCTGTGCTTCTTGGACTTGTGAAGTTGTGTTAAATCCATCATTGTTCGTTCTTTTCATTTTTCAATTTTTAATAGCTGCACAATTGTCAATTATTAGGAATCCAAAGTAAATACTTTGTAAACTACGGGTTTGACCATTTGAGCAAATTATTTGCAAAAGCGTCTTAAACTGTGAATCCCAACCCCCAAATGGAGTCCCCTTAGCTCAATGTTGGGGTCATGAAAATTTGGCAAAAGTAATAGTTTTTTGAATACCACCTGTTTACATAAGCCTATTATGGTTCAGCTGAAATGTAAACCTGTACCTCCCAGTCCAGTCATGTCCTTTGCATTGCTTATTGGCCCAATCTTTCTCTCCAATCCAGCTCCATCCACCTGTGCAATAACTCCATCCAGAAGCACTTAGAAAACTCACTGAATCGCCACGCTGGCCTTCCTCCTGACAACATGTGGTCCTCTGACCAGTTCCAGCTCCACCTACGGCAGATGGGGGCACCAGAGGTCTGGTCACGGGTGATAGTACCTGGCATGAAGACAGCAATCATTCACGCCATGCAAACCTCACAGGACTTGGTGGAGTTTCGTAAAAGCAGCTTTGAGCTCTATGGCGCAGACTTTCTGTTTGGAGAAAACTACCAGCCATGGCTGATTGAGATCAATGCCAGCCCCACCATGGCGGCCTCCACAACTATCACCTCCCGACTTTGTGCCAGTGTACAGGAGGACACTCTGCGTGTGGTCATTGACCGCAAATATGATCGCAACTGTAGTACAGGAAACTTTGAGCTCATTTACAAACAGGTTAGTGGTTCTGCCATAACTTCCTGAGAAGGGGTAAACTATGCTTGTTAGGGACACTGAGATGAAGCATTTCTCCTAATGCAGTGTTTCTTTCTTACAGCTCTCTCTCTCTTTCTCTTTCTCATCATATTACTCCTTCACTCAATCATTTTGTTTATATCAAAACAAAAGTGGAACTCAAGGCAGCTTTCATTTCTTCTGTGCATCTCTTAGACTGCCTTGGACATAAATTGCTCAGCGCTCCTCCTGTCTGGCTTTTCAGATATCTGTTGTCCATAGTAGTCAGATTGCTCATACTTTCTACATTGACTACTATAGGCCATAGATGTCTAAGAAGCCAGGTTAGAATAATAATAGGGGACTATTAGAAAGCTATTAGAGCTTCCTCAGAACTGGTAATGGTGATGATTATCTTAATCTTATATCACACATGGCTTTCTGCTCCACATTTTGTATTCAAGCAATAGCCCTGGGAGGTGGGTTGAGATAAGGTGTGTTTGGTGGGGATGAAAGACAGGGCATTCTTGGTGGTGGCCCCTTGGATGTGGAACTCCCTCCCCAGTGAGATCAGATCAATCCCCTCCCTCCTTGCATTCAGGAAAACAACTTGAAACCTGGCTGTGTAAGCAGGCATTTGCCGAGTGACAGAATTACAGTATATCACCTTATCACAATATAGACATAAATGAAACGGCTAAATGATGTGTTTGGGATTGGTACAGTGTTTAATATGTTTTATGTTCTATGTTTTATGATGTTTATACATACAATGTTTTAATGGTTTTAATTCATATTTATATGTTTACCGATTTCAGTTAATTATGTTATATATTGCTTTTGTATGTAAATTGTGGCACTGAATTTTGCCAAATTGCAAGCTGCTCTGAGTCCCCCTTGGGGTGAGAGAGAGAGTGGGATAGAAATGCAGTAAATACATAAATAAATAATAGGAAGTAAAACTAAAAGTCATCCAGAGAGCTTCATGACAGAATGGCAGCTACAACTTGTGCCAGGGACTCCTGTGTCCTTTTTTTTTTTTTTTTAAAGATTTCCTTTACTTCCTTCAAGAACTATGAAGGGAGCTCAGCATTAAAGCAAGATTGTTTTGCCCAAGATATACCCTAATTGACTTCGAACAAAGGCCCACTCAGACTTGACCAATAAGGGGGAAAAGTAGCAGCTCTTCCATAATGATAATCACTGTGGGGACCATCATAGGCACACCTTTATATTTCTTTAAGATTTCCCTTTTGTTTTTGTTTTCCAACCATCCTGAGGTCTTCTGCCTACAACCCTGTTGTGCTTTGTTTGCTTATTTATTTGATGTGTTCTTTCCCAGAAGGAGGATTTGTTGGCCAGATGGGATAAGATTTCAGGGAAGCCTGATTGGCCACCTTATGTCTCTCTCCTGCCTTTATTTTCTTGGCTTAAAGAGCTTCCCTGTTGCATAGTTTAAGAATTAACATAAGTTATTTGAGCAACAACAATATCTTTTAAAAACATTTTATTAAGAAGCACAGAAATATAAACATACAGACAGGGATTCAAGAAAAAAGATTACAGAAAAAACAAAAAACCCAATTTTAATTAGTAATCTACTCTAGTTGAGGCTAGCAATTGAAATCAAGAAACCAACTGTATCAAGGAACTGTAATTGTGTCTTTGTTATTGGTTCTGTCTCTGTTTTCATGGAAAAATAGACTGTTTGGAAGCTCCAGTTAGTCCAATGCTCGGCAGCCAGGTTGCTCACTGGAGCGGGATACAGGGATTGTACAACCCCCTTGTTATACCAGCTCCACCGGCTGCCTATTGGCTTCAGAGCACAATTGTAAGTGCTAGTCTTGACCTATAAATCCCTAAATGGTTCCAACCCAGCTTACCTGTCCAAACGTATCTCCCTCTATAAACTCCCAAGGACCTTAAGATCATTTGGAGAGGCCCTGCTCTCGGTCCCACTGCCATCGCAGTCGCTTTTGGTGGGAATGAGAGACAGGGCCTTCTCAGTGGTGGCCCCTTGGCTGTGGAACTCCCTCCCTAATGAGATCAGATCTGCCCCCTTCCTCAAGACCTTCCGGGAGAAGCTCAAATCCCGGTTATGGGATCAAGCGTTCGCAGAATATATTGTTTCAATGGATTGTTTTTAGCAGACGGCAATGGATTGATTTGGAAGACAACGTGAAATAGCAAACTGTTTTACGTATTTACAACTGTTTTTAATGTATGCTAAGTGTATTTTATGTTTTGTTTTTATTGTTCGGCACCGAATGGTGCCTGTTGGTAGCCATCCTGAGTCCTTCTTCGGAGGTGAGAAGAACGGGATAGAAATGCTCCAAATAAATACATGCCCAAGGCAGATGTGTATCTCAGGAAACATTGAGAAATGTGAGTTGCTGTGAGTTTTACAGGCTGTATGGCCATGTTTCAGAAGCATTCTCTCCTGACGTTTCCCCACATCTATGGCAGGCATCCTCAGAGGCTGCCTGCCATAGATGTGGGTGAAATGTCAGTAGGGAATGCTTCTGGAACATGGCCATACAGCCCAGAAAACTCTCAGCAATCCAGTAATTTCAGCCATGAAAGCTTTCGACAACACACTGAAGTCTAAATACATTGTAAATTACAACTCCCAGGACCCTTTACACAGCAACCCAGTGATTCTGGCCATGAAAGCCTTTGACAACACATTGATAAATCTGCTGGCTCTACTAACCAAGAGTTGTAGGGAATGCCTCTCCATGGCAAGCTGAGATGAGTAGTCTCATTCTGCTTCCATTTTCTACCTGCAGGCAGCTGTGGAAGTTCCCCAATATGTTGGCACCAGTCTCTTGGTAGAAGGGTCTACCGTCAAGAAGCCTCGGCATTCCTTCCAAAGAAGCCCTGTCCCCGGTGACACCAGGAATGGCTGCGATACTCAGTCACCCAAGACTCCTAAGCTGGTTTTCCAGCGTGCTAATCACAGTGTCCTTCGGGCAGCTACGCCATGCTGGGTAACAAAAAGCAGCAAGGCTACGGAGCCAGCATCCCCTGGGAAGGAGAACAAAGCCAAGGAGAAGGCTGCTACCAGCAAGATCCCTGTAGCATCTGACGCACCCAAGTTGTCCACAAAGCTAATAACTGACCCCCGTAACCGGAAGGTACTGATGGCCCATAGCATGGCAACCACCACCACCACCACCACTTTGGGAGATGATGTCTCACAGCCAGCCCAGCTCTGTGTCAAATCCAGTTCTCAGAAGCTGACCACTTGCCCAGGACAATCTGCTCTCCATCATACCAAGCCATCCAATCTCATGGGTTTAGTGGTGCAGGACCGGGTACCCAGCAAGGCAACCCAAGTGGCAGGTAGGGAGTTGTTTTTGAAGCTGCACTTGCAGAAAACAAGGGCTGCCTCTGCCTCTGGGAAGCCGCCAGTCTCCAACACTTTTGTGAGGCCCAACATGCAAGAATGCTTGCAGCATTTCAAGCAGTGCTTCCTGCAGCATGTGCCCATGCCCCTGACCCCTCTGTCCCCTTTAACTATGAATTTACCTTCAACTGCCAAGCTTAATGCCATTAGAGCCTCTATGATCAAAAAGTGGAATCTCAGAAGGGACGGAACCTTCCGATGACGTTGGAGCAGCTCTGGCTTTGGGTCTCTGATGGCAGACAAGCATTATGCTATAGAAGGTCTGGGCAGCACTTATATGGAGCTGTACAGATAGGAAATCATGTGTCTGGGAGCTGGATTCTCCTTCCCAATAAAGGATTTTGTCAAAAAGTTGGCCGGAGTGTATAATGGAAGAGTAAACAGAAAGTTAGAGTAGATGGGGGAATGTTAGGATGATTGCCTTTCACATCTACTGATGTGGCAGTTAAGGGTCATTTTGAGGCAATGAAAGAGCCAGAGGGGGCTAGATGGAATATAGGGACTAAAAAGTAAGGAAGAGAACATGGAGAAAGGCCAGGGTATGAAGGTGTGACTCAAAGGATGGCTTGTGTTCTCGGAATTCTTCACTGTCTAGACATTAACCAAAAGGTTGAGTCCAGGGCAGAGTGATATATATGGCTGAAGGGCTCCGAAGGCAATGTAGCAGAAATGTTTTCAGTGCTGATGAGCAAATATGAGAAATGTGATACATTTGGACAGAAAAGGTCAGAGCGAAGGATTTTATTAACATTGTTAATAGGATCGTGACTATTCAGCCTATCATTCTACTTGCCAAAATGCAGTTTGGTATCTTCCCATTGGATTAGGGACTGCTTGACATCCAGGGTGCCGAGGGAAAGGTTTTGGGAGGTGACAAAGATAAGATGGAAAGAGCTGTCTGGACTGCTGTGCTTGCTATCAAAAAGTTAAAAACACCACAAAACAAGTGTTTTATTTTGAGTAGAGATGGGGAGTCGACTGGTCATCCGGTGGTACATTCAAGAAGATTACAGAACACAAGTCATGTTTGTGCTGGGTTTAGTGCAAAACAGAAAAAGCAATTGGGACAATGTTGTGGTGGTCTTCTCTGATTTTATTACAGGCGAGCAAAAAAAAAAGGGTGGTGATTGCTTTTTAAAAAAATTGTTCAGTTTAATTTCAGAGCTGATTTATCAAAATGCCAATCTTCATTTTCCGGATTGTGACCTACACCCAGTTTACTGCCAAATTTAAGTTGTTCTACATGAGTTGTATGTTGTGTATCTCTAAACTTTGTAAAAATGGGAGGGGGAAATTAAGACAAAATGGTAAAAGCCTTTTGCAGTCAGAAAATTAAAAGTGGGTCCCATGTTGCAGGTTGGAATTCAAAGGTGGGTGCTATACTTGAAAAACTGAAGACTCCTGTTGTAACTTAACTGAAGCTTGGGTGCCAGTAGTACAAGTTCTCTTTGGAGCTTGATGGTCTTTACCCATCTTGACCCAGCAGTTGGTTGTTGTTTTTTTAAAACATTTCTTTTTATCTTTGAGACCTGTTCCCTTAAGACTTTTAGGAGTGTGTAAGAAATCCATTTATAAATAAATCAAAGTTCTTCATGAAGATAACCAAAATCTTGTACCAAGAAAATATTATTTTGTATTCCTGCCTTTTTTTCATCACTTTATTCTATTTCCATCAGTCACAAAGAGGGACAAAATGCATGACACAGGCAACTCCAACATGGCAGTCACATGAACTTGCCTGTATATTTTTCAATTTACATCTTAGGTGTCAAGCTCTAGACCAGGGGTCCTCAAACTAAGGCCTGAGGGCCAGATACGGCCCTCCGAGGTCATTTACCCAGCCCTCGCTCAGAGTCAACCTAAGTCTGAAATGAGTTGAAAGCACACAACAACAACAACAACAACACTATCTCATCAGGTAAAAGCAGGCCCACACTTCCCATTGAAATACTAATACGTTTATATATTTGTTAAAATTGTTCTTCATTTGAATTATTGTATTGTTTTTAAGAGTTTTTTTCACTCCAAATATGTTCAGTGTGCATAGCAATTCATTCATGTTTTTTTTTCAAATTATAATCCGGCCCTCCAACAGTTTGAGGGACTGTGACCTGGCTCTCTGTTTAAAAAATTAGAGGACCCCTGCTCTCGACCATTGGTTCTTGTTTCTTAAGATGGAAATACGGATTTCAACATGGTGAATGTGGCACCTAGCACCAAATGCAGAGTATGTGTGGATATATTGTAGAGTTGGAGTGTATAGCAGGGGAGTAGCTGTGGAAGCAGTAAAAAGTTATCTCCTAAATCAAAAATTCTGCTCCATCCAAATGAAATTTTCCTTCAGCACTCAAATTTCTAGCTTTCCATTGGGTTAAAACTTCATTTGAGCATTTAGAAATACAATTGGCCCTTTACATTTTCCCTCTAGAAACCTCTTGGTCTTCCGGCACGATTCTGTGGTCAGTGTCTGCCCAAAGTTGACTGTGGAGGACCTCTAGAGAAACTCTCTCTAGGAATCTCTAGGACCTCCAGTGCAATTCTGTTGATATGATGTGGGGTGTAAATCCCTTCTTAAGTTAATCATGATACGATTTCCCAACAGCCCCTATTGCAATAAAAGTGAAATGGAAATCACAAAAGGCTTCCCTGTCGAAGGGGTTTGCATCCTGAAATACCTTGGGCTTATGAAATGCACTTGGTGTATTTGATGGCACTTTGAAACTAACCTCTCCTTGTGTTATTTTACATCTTTTCTACCATTCCTCTTCCTGGTCACGTTTCTCATATGGAGGGCTTCTGCACCTGTAGTATAAAACCCATGGTTTGAAAACGGTGTGTTTTTCAGACCACAGGTTTTCAGTTATGCGTTTGCTGCTGTGGGCCTCTTCATTGGTGCCTTGTGGTATGTTATGTTTCTCTTCCCTGCCCTACCAACTCAATTTATCTTGCCTTGTTCCTAGGATCTACTTGGTTCTGTGGTCTACTAGTAGCTATGAGTCAAAATATTGTGCATTTCAGATAGATGTTGCATGAGATGGTTTTGCTCCCTTTTCCAAACTGGAGCTTATCCTTGCACTTTGGTCTTGGTTTGGGAGATACACTTGCCTTTCAGCTTTCTCTGTCTGTGAATGACTGAGCAGCTAACCAAATGCATTCAAGAAGCATGTCGAGGTTTAGCGCTTTCCTGGATCTCACCCTAAGCCCACCTGCTCTGTTATCTTTCCAGGCCCAGTGGCACTCCGCTTCTGCAAAGATGGAAAGGCCGTGGCAAGTTGGCAAGTGCTGTGCTGCTCTTCCACAGCTGGAGCTTTGCTTCCTGTAATTCCCAAACTCCGTTACCACAAGGCACCAGTCACCTCTTGCCAGGCTCAGGTATATAGCAAGTCCCTGAGTGCTTGTGGGATGACATTGCCTGCCCTGAGGTGCTCTACTGGCCAACCTAGTTTGTAGAACTGATCCTCTCCCTACCTCCTCCTACATCTCCACTGATGGGACGACCCACAGTCACCTTCCCTTAAAATGATATGTAGCTTCAACCAGTAGTTGAGATATAACTACACACTCTGTGGACAAGTTTCCTTCTCCCAAACCAGTAACCATTGATCCTTTCCTCGTCCATATGCCTAGGATGCGCAGTCACCACAGGACCTGAAGTTGCCCCCTCTTGTACCTGCTTTAGGAAGCCAGATGTCAGACCTGCCTCCCGTGGAAGGGAAAGGACTACGAAACCACATGGAATAATTCTACCATGGCAGCTGATTCTGCACCTTTAATGCAGTAGAAAGTGTGGAGGAAGTGCATGTAAATGCGCATAGTTTACCTTGGTTTGGAACTTCTACAAGAGTCTCAGTGGACAGTGTGATTCCTGGACCAGCTGAGAGTGTCTGAAAGATGCCTGAAACTTTTCAGCCTTCCTAGAACTACCATCAACATTGAGAATTAGGCTCTTTCTATGTATCCTCATGAAAGCTTAACTTCTGTTTGGTTAGTTGTCCTTCTGAAGTCTTCAATCCTTCATCATGGAAGCAAAAATTCATTTGAGAACTCTTCTTCCTCCTTATGGACAAGAAGAGAACCAAAATCATGGAAGAAAAAAGATAGTACACAATGTGAAACCTCTAGGATGCAGATGGTGCATTGGCCAAGGTGGAGAGGGCCATGGGCTATCTGTCATCCCCTACCACAGGCACTTTGTCAACAGAGACACACATCCGCCTCATTTGAAAGAATGGAAACAATTTACTGCCCTCCATCACCTTTAAACAAGTTTTCAGTGAAATCCTATTTGCTACCATGGTCCCTAACTATGAACTTTAACTTGTCACAGAGTTAACTAGCCTGTAAATAGCAGAGTATTTATATCTGAGAAGGAGAACTGCAACATAAAATATGTGAATATCAAAGAAAACTTGGTTTTTATACACCTGTGATGGAGTGGGGACTAACTACAGATACTAAAGTCCTTTTACACTTTATAAAATGTGTATTTAATGGAAAACTACAGACATAGAGCTAGAGTACCACAGATCTTTTGTGATTTTTTATAGCTGTCAGATGCTCAAATTTCGCAACTGGTGCATTTTTATAACTCTTTAGCTCTTGAATTTTTGCCTGTCAAAGAGCTGCAAAAGGCACAAAATATTGGTTTTTATTTTTTTTAAAAAAAACCACAGGCAGCAGAAACTGTTACTATAAAGTGTATATAGACAAGTAAGTCCACTATGGCAATAACTGCGCTGTGTTCTTGTGCAATCAAATTTAGAGAGAACTTTTTGTTATGTTATCAAACCAGATTGGATTTGCATAGCAATGATAGAATGGTCCTTTTCTTGAGGCCACTAGTGCTTCGCCCCTTAAGGACAGGTTCATGTAGTCCTGTTTGCTTTTTTGCCCACAACAAATTCCTCATTCCTATCAACTCAGAGCGGAATTTTTAAAGGCAGAAAGTATTACACTTAAATAGAGATGCATGGAAGATGGCCTTTTTCAGACTGATGCCTCTCTCATTGTCTCCAATTAGGGCAACCTTACTGATTGGAGATTATGGAAATTGTTGTATAACACTTCTAGAGGGTCTTGGGCTGGGGACGAAGGTGCTCAGGCAGATAACCTGCCATAAACCAAAGGAAAAAAAAGTGTAAACAGAAAAAGGCTCAGTCCACTGATTGCATTCTTTAAAGAACAGGATAGCTGAGATCGCCCTACAGCAAAATAGCTGATTCCCATTTTCTTGGTCAGCATGGCATCTTCCTGTAAGTCATTTATTCCATTGTTGTTATGGTATCATGCTTCTGAAATTTTATAACAAGGTCAGGAATGTGTAGCTCTGTAGATGTTGGACTGAAGCATCCACTAGCCACTTGGGAGTAATGGGTCAATGGCACATCAACTACATTTCCCATCATTCCTGAATATTGATAGTGTTATCTGTGAATGGTGGGAATTACAGTTCGTTAACATGACGACAAGATTCCTGGTCCTGCTTTACAACCAGAAAGGCCATTTAAACCCTTGTTCCACCTGATCTTATCTAGCACTTACTTTCTCACCTATCCCTTCTATTCCATCCAATATTTTCCAAAATAGTGTCATCTTTAACTTTAGACTAAAGAGCAAGAAGTAGTCACGTTTATGTGTCTCATCTTGATCTTTTCAACAAAGTAGGCAGATTGGGTTGTAGACAAGGCCAAGGCAATGTACTTCTTGTCTGCTGCATTCCCCTCTTCCCCATTGCAGTGCTGCCTGGAGGCTCTCTCCCGTTGTTCCTTGGTTTGTTGGGCATATTTCTGGATCATGTTAAAGCTTGGTAGTCACCATGTTAGAAAGAGTAACCTTCCATTCTGCAACTGTGCCGTATAGATCTTTACCAAACTAAAAATAAACTCAATATGATGCCAGTCGGTTATCCTTTTAGGAAAAAATTTACACCATCTTAACTCTGTCTTGGAAACAAAGAGCCTACAGTGAGATCTATGGTGGAAAAGGAGAGATAGATAGATAGATAGATAGATAGATAGATAGATAGATAGAGAGAGAGAGATAGATAGATAGATAGATATCCCTTTGCAATACTCCTGATGCCTGCTTTTTCCTCTTAACTGTGTTCTAGATCAGTGGTTCTCAACCTGTGGGTCTCCAGGTGTTTTGGCTTTCAGCTCCCAGAAATCCTAACAGTTGGCAAACTGGCTGGAATTTCTGAGAGTTGTAGGCCAAAACACCTGGGGACACACAGGTTGAGAACCACTGTTCTAGACAGAGGACCATTTACTTTTGTCTCAAAGAAATTAACTAGATCCATTGGAAAGCTAAGCAATTTCCAGTCTGTAGGGTGGTGTCTAGAATTCCCAACTGGAGCATTGTTATGGGAACTGACTTGGAGATGAAAAAGCAAGAATATTTCATCCGGTCACTTCATGGGAGAATGTGATACTTGGAATATCACAAATTAAGCGCATTATGGTAGCATAGGGTTTAGTAAATGTGAATTAGTTGTCTCTGTTTAATGACTGGTTGATTCTATGTTTAAATGCTAAGACTGGGGAAGAAAGAAATCATGGATTTTATAGAATTACTGTTTGTAAATGTCTCCCACGTTGGCCTAAAGAGAAATGAAAACACGAGTACATCCACATTCCAAGTTGATTCCCTTCAAATACTTTTAATATTTTCCCCAGCCAAAAGGGATGAGAATTGTACCCCATCGAGATCCAGAGAATAAAGCTGAGAGGACTATGATAGAGTGTGGATGGGGATATGTGTAGCCCACTAGACCTTGTTGTGAGGTCAAGCCACATACTCCCTGATCACTGGTTATGTTGGCTGAGGCTGTTGTCAGATGCAGTCCCCACAACATAAGGCTATCTACCTGATCTCCACCCATTTCAGGATGTGGTCTGGCTTCCTGTTACATTTCCCCCACTTTGAAATCTTGTTTATATAGGAAGTTCAAACTAAGAGGCAGCTTCTGCACAAATCTATTGTGGTCTTAATGGTAAGATCAGCGCACTCCTTTGCTGCTACTCTTCTTGTATGAAATGGATAGTGAAGACAACAGAGCACGTGTTTGGCATGCAGACAGCTTCAGTTTAAGGTCCCTGGCATCTCTACTTGAACAATGTTGGGGAGAAGAACTGGTTCTGTGCAAAACTACATAGAGCCATTTGCAACTGCAGGTCATAATACTGGGTTCAATAGTTCCCTATTTGGGATCCCCAGGTGTTATTTTCCATTTCTATAATCAAAGACCATAGTGGCCAGTGTGATGGAAGCTGCAGCCCAAAACCAGGGGACCCTAGAGCTGAGTGTTGTCGACCTAGATGAACAAGCGTAGCCTTATTGTGTGCCTTCAAGTCATTAGTGACTTAGCTTGTTCTAAAGCAGCATAGAATCATAGACTCATAGAGTTGGAAGAGACCACATAGGCCATCTACTCCAAGCCCTTGTCATGCAGAGAAAATACAATCAAAGTATCCCTGACAGCATTTAGTAAGAGATATTTTGTGTATCTGCTGAGGGACATTTCTAGAAGCTGAACCCGAATCAAAACACCTTCTGGGATGGCTGTGACTCAATTCTTACTATAGCAGGCTGTGGTTATTTATTTTGTTGTGTTCTGTTGTGGCAATAACTGATGGGACTCTAGCTGCTAAACCTCGGTGTTTTGGGTTGTCACAAAAGAAACCAAATAAGAAGCAGCAACTCTATTCACTCCTCAAATAATGATTACAGAGGAAGGTTTTGGCCTATATCCTATATTATAATTCCTTAGGGCAAAATCAGTGAAGATAATCAGAAGCATGTGTTGTGTGCATTATGCATGAAGTCATTGCTTTTTTTTATATAATTCTTAATATCAATGCCTTGTGATTTGTGAATCCTGGTTTGTAAAAGAATAAACCTTTTTAGTCCATTGAACTGATCTGTGTTCTCAGTTTTTACAATTTGGGGGAAAGAGCTTGTGTTTTCTTTAGGTTCTACCAATCTGGAGTAGGGCCTCCTCAGTGGTGGCCCCTCGGCTGTGGAACTCCCTCCCGAGCAAGATTAGATCAGCCTCCTCCCTCCTAGCTTTCAGAAGGAGAGTAAAGACTTGGCTCTGGGAGCAGGCTTTTGAAAACTAATGCAGTGCAATAACTTTAAAGTGAAATAATGTGCAATTTGACTACGGAATGGCCTTAGACTCTGATCCATGGATGGCGTGTTTTTAACATTAGAATGTATCTTACTATGTTTAATTTGTATTAATTTTAATCCACTTTATTTTAAGTTGATATTGTATGTTTTAAGGCACTATGCTGGTGCCACTTGTAAGCTGCCTTGAGTCTCCTTTGGGGTAGGGAAAGGCAGGATATAAATAAGGTAAATAAAAAAAGATAAATAAGACTTGAATGTGGTGGCAAAAACTGAAAGGGGCTGTAAAGAAAACACAACTGAGTAGTGGTGCTTTAGCTTTTGTGTTTCAGTACTCTCTTATAGTACAAGTGGCACTTAGTATCTCCATTTGAGAAGAGGTAAGTTAAAGGTTGTTGTTGTGTGCCTTTAAGTCTTCTCCAACTTGTGGCAACCCTGTTTTCCCTGCTGAACAGCTCCTTTCCATTCTCCCCAGAGTTCAACTGAAAACCATCCCCGCATCGCATTAATATTAATTAAGCAGCACTCTTCTGCCATTTCGATTCAAGTAGAGCAGCTGTCACATCTCAAGAGATTGCTTCGTTCTCCTAATTGCTCTGCGCTATCCATGCATAATCTATTTAACCTCACCGCTCTTGGGATTCCTGAACATATCAGTCTTTTCTAAGGAGATCTGAGTTTTCCAGGCAAAGAGTTTCAGATACTGCCACATGCATAAGCCATAGTGATCCAAAGCTATCCAATTCACAAATGCATGAATGAGCTCTACCATGAAAATCCAAATGTTAGTAAGAGGTACAGATATGAAAGCTGGGAACATATGCTCATTCATTGCATTCATTGCTTTATTCTGTGAAGACTAGCCTAAAATCATAGAATCATAGAGTTGGAAGAGACCTCATGGGCCATCCAGTCCAACTCCCTCTCATTAGACTTTGGCTTAGAGGCCAGCGGCAAAAGGAAAAGGAATGTTAGGTTTTGCGAAATAAATGAAATTTATTATTTCGTATATTTCTATCCCACCCTTCTCCCCATAAGGGGGACTCAGAGTGGCCTCACACAAGCATCAGAAGATGCTAACAACACAAATACCATAAAAATTACAATTCAGAATAAAATCATTTTAAAACATTGCCCTACAACATCAATAAATTTAACAATAAATTAACATGCCAGTAAAACCAAACCAAGCTGGGAAAATCTGTGTTGCAAAACCCAAAATTCCTTTTCCTATTGCCGCTGGCCTGTAAGCTGAAGTCTAATGAGAGGCCTTCCAGACAAGACCTCTCATTCCAGACAAGACATAATCAGGGCCAGCTAATCACCTCCCAACAAAGGATTCCCCCAGGCAAGAAGCAGCCAGACCTTGATAACTGCTAGACTATGAAATGCTAATGAAGGTAGCCAATTGCTACATTCACAGCTACCTCAAACAGACAAGAGTTCTTTCTCCCACCCTGGACATTCCACAGATATATAAACTTCACTTGTCTACTTTCCAACAGACCTCACAACCTCTCAGGATGCCTGCCATAGATGCAGGCAAAATGTCAGGAGAGAATGTTTCTGGAACATGACCATACAGCCCGGAAAACTCAAAATAACCCAGTGAATCTGGCCCTGAAAGCCTTTGACAATGTATTTATTATTATTATTATTATTATTATTATTATTATTATTATTACTATTGAAAAGGTAATGCTCTGTTCTCTTACGATATTTTCTTGATGGCCATGGTCTCTGTGCTCTTCTTAATGAGTGGTCATTGCCACCAACTCTTCTGTTAGGAAGAATGCATATTCACCTTTGTAACACAGACAGCAAGCTACACATCCTCAGGGAAGGCATAAATCCCACTTTTTAATTGGTGAGGCAAACCTCCAAGAACCAGCTCCTTAATTCAGTTACAGACTCATATAGCCATGGCACCATCATATTCACACACAATAGAGATGACTCCTCTCTTAACAGATTATAGAGATGGGCCAAAACTAACAAAATGGAGTTCAACAGTGACAAACGCGAGATCCTTCACTTAGGCAGAAAAAATGAAATGCAAAGATACAGAATGTGGGATGCCTGGCCTGACAGCAGGACGTGTGAAAAAGAACTTGGAGTCCTCGTGGACAGGAAGGTGAACATGAGCCAACAATGTGATGCAGCGGCAAAAAAGCCAATGGGATTTTGGCCTGCATCAATAGGAGTCTAGTATCTAGATCCAGGGAAGTCAGGCTCCCCTATATTCTGCCTTGGTTAGACCACACCTGGAATATTGTGTCCAATTCTGGGCACCACAACTGAAGAGAGATATTGACAAGCTGGCAAGTGTCCAGTGGACGGTGACTAAAATGATCAAGGGTTTGGAGAACAAGCCCGATGAGGAGCGGCTTAAGGGGCTGGACATATTTAGCCTGAAGAAGAGAAGGCTGAGAGGAGACATGATAGCCATGTATAAATACGTGAGAGGAAGTGAGCCCTGGAGACTAGAACGCAGAACAATGGCTTCAAACTACAAGAAAGGAGATTCCATCTGAACTTTAGGAAGAACTTCCTGACTGTGAGAGCCGTTCAGCAGTGGAACTCTCAGCCCCGGAGTGTGGTGGAGGCTTCTTTTTTGGAAACTTTTAAACAGAGGCTGGATGGCCATCTGTTGGGGGTGCTTTGAATGCAATTTTCCTGCTTCTTGGCAGGGGGTTGGACTGGATGGCCCATGAGTTCTCTTCCAACTGTAGAATTCTATGAAAGAGAAATAACCCAAAGCCAAGCCTTCTGGTGTTGTCTTTCTTTGTACTTTACAAAAGGACAAAAATAAAGAACACAGGAGAGTCTTGAATAAAGCTTCTTTTGCTAAGTTAAACCAAAGCTATGAAGGAAGTTTCTGCATGGAAATTCCCCAGTGTTCTTTTCTCTGTCAGTTGCATGAGCGCTTTGCCAGCAGGAGCCAAGATGGTGTTTTCTCCTTCTCCCTTGGCCCAAAAGACGGAGTCAGATTGGCATGAAACAGTGTCTACTGGGCTGGCGAAAATGCCTTCAGTGACTTCTCCTGCTCCTTGTTCTTCCCCTGTGGCAAGGTTAGTCCCAGAAGAGAAAGTGTCCTCAGGAAAAAAGCTGGAAAGGGAGCCGTGAACGCCGCACATGATGAAAAGGCACCAGCGGAAGGGGAAGGGTGGAGGAGCTGGTGGAGGTGAAGGTGGAGAGGCAAGCGATGCACATGTTGCTGCTGCAGGTGGAGCTTCTTCAGCAGGGAGTCATCTAGGACCTATCAGGAAGCAGGTAAAGAGGGAAAAGAATTGTGGTTGCTAATATAGTCAGCTCTCTACATTAACAGTGGTTAGGGGTGCAGAAGTGTTGCAAAAGTAGGAAAGCAGCAAATTAAAAAATGGGTAGTTGTAGGTTTTTCGGGCTATATGGCCATGTTATAGAAGCATTCTCTCCTGACGTTTCACCTGCATCTATAGCAAGCATCCTCAGAGGTTGTGACCCCACAACTGCCATTCCTTTTGATTATCCACCACAAGGACTGATGGAAATTGCAACCCAACAGCACTTGTGCCTCTGAGGTTGGGGAAAGGCTAAAGCACATTTTGAAGTCAGGCATCCTATCCACAAGCCTTGTATCTAAATTCAGACCCCATTCTCTTGACTAAACAGAACAAACTGCAGCCTTCTGGATGTTACTGTTATCAGAACTCCCATCAGCTCTAGTCACAATGTCTGAGGATGAGGAATACAGAAGTTGTAGTCCAGCATCTGGAGGGCCACATAAAATGACGTGGCAGGCCAGATTAAGCCCACAGACAATGAGTTTGACACAGATGAATTAGAGGAACTTATATACAAGTATATCTTGATTAACAAAGCCTCTGTACAAGAAGTCCCTTTTGGCAAAGGCTTTTAACACCAGGCAGGGCAGCATCAGTCCCATAGTCCCGTACCTGTACCCGTGGCAGAGAGCTCTCAGGAGACAAGAGGAAGGGCTCCCCCAGGACGGTCCCCACACGAGAGGAATACACATGGTCCCCTAATATAGGGCTCAGGATCAGGGTCGAGTGCACCAGAAGCTGGCTGGGAAAGGCTGACAAAAAATAGAGAGAGAGAAATAAAGCAGAGACATAACAGCCAGGAACATCAGGAAAACATACAGAAACAGTCAGCTCAAACTCTGGGTTGCTGCGAGTTTTCTGGGCTGTATGGCCATATTCCTGAAGCATTCTATCCTGACGTTTTGCCCACATCTATGGCAGGCATCCTGAGAAGTTGTGAGGTTTGTTGGAAACTAGGCAAGTGGGGTTTATGTATCTGTGGAATAATGTCCAGGGTGGGAGAAAGAACTCTTGTTTTTTGGAAGCAAGTATGAATGTTGTAATTGGCCACCTTGAATGGCCTTGCAGCTTCAAAGAAAATATAACAGTAACTTAATGTGTTGTCCCAACAAAGGATTCCCCCAGATAGGAAGCAGCCAGGCTTTGAAGCTGCAAGGCCATCCAATGCTAATCAAGATGGCCAATTACAATATTCACACTTGCCTCAAACAGACAAGAATTCTTTCTCCCACCCTGGGCATTCCACAGATATATAAACCTCACTTGCTTAGTTTTCAACAGATCTCACAACCTCTCAGGATGCCTGCCATAGATGTGAGTGAAACATCAGGAGATAATGTGTAGATTTTTAAAAAATGATTGTTCTTTTGTTAAATGTGCAAATTTAAAATGAAAAATATTTTAATCTAACTACTATATATACTCAAGTATAAGCTGACCTGTATATAAGCTGAGGCAGCTCATTTTACCACAAAAAACTGGGAAAGTGTATTAACTTGAGTATAAGCCAAGTGTGGGAAATGCAGCAGCTACTGGTAAATTTCAAAATAACTCTAATTAAACCATTATTCTAACTTTCTTCAGTGTAAATGTGCTTACATTTCCTTCCAATAATAATAAAAGGAGTAAAATAATAAATGTAATAATAGTAATAATAATAATACAGTAAAATAATGTAAATGTAATAATAACAGTAATAATAGAGTAAAATAATAAATGTAATAATAATAATAACAGAGTAAAATAATAAATAACTTGACTCGAATATAAGCTGAGGGGGAAATTTTCAGCCTTAAAAAAGGGCTGAAAACTAGGCTTATACTCAAGTATATACAGTATATCTAGACTGTACGGGGGACACATTCCTGGCTTAACCACAGTTATCTGAAATCACAGACATGCTAAAACACAATTAAATTACCTTTCTTCCATTCCCAGCACACTCATAGAGTTGCACCACCAACTCTATGGTAGTTTCTGTGGGAAGTATACTATAACATACTTGGAGATCAGCAAATTCTAGCAAGACCATTTTCCCCTCAGGTGAAACCACAGATAAGTGAAACTACATGGTCTCAGGCGTCTTATGTATATGCCACTAAAAAGAACATTTACTCTCCCATTCTGTAACGCCCTTCCTAGTCCCCTGACCTCTCAAGTTCTTTCTATTCTGCATGATATCAGCAGCGTACCTGTCAGAGGCTGAAGTTGCAGCAAGGCACAGCTTTCTCGGGAGTCCAGGACCTTGTAACGCGTCAGGGTCTTTTTTACCTCCCGCCTTTGAATGCTTCCGCGGGTTGGAGAAGTCACTGGCACCACCTGCAACCGATGCATAGAGTCCAGAAGTCAGCATATTTCCTCAAAATTGGTAAAAACAGCAACCAAATACCATATTTCATTTCATAATAGTTGCCACCGTGTCACACTCGCATCTCCATTTTTTGGGGTGGCAAAATTATTTGATTTATTTATTTAGTTCTTTGCATAATAGTCACAGAGCTGTTGGAAGCTGATTCTCCCTTTCTTCCTTCTCTGAATGCAAGGCAGTTTTAAAAACTCGAAATGGAAGTGGGTTGCTGTGAGTTTTCTGGGCTGTATAGACATGTTCCAGAAGCATTCTCTCTTGACGTTTTGCCCACATCTATGGCAGGCATCCTCAGAGGTTGTGAGGTATATTGGAAATTAGGCAAGTGACAATTATATATCTGTCAAATGTCCAGGGAGGGAGAAAGAACTCTTGTTTGTTTGCGGCAAGTGTGAAAGTGGGGTTTACATGTGCAGCCATAGCAGAGCACCTGAAGAACCAACCTGGACACAGCATATTATTTGAGAACACAGAAATGCTGGACCACTCTAACAACCACCATGTCAGGCTACACAGAGAAATCCACAAGCATGTGGGCAATTTCAACAGAAAAGAGGAAACAATGAAAATGAACAAAATCTGGCTACCAGTATTAAAAAACTCTAAAATGAGGACAGTAAAGAAGAAGCAAGACTCAAAAAGCAGGGGAATTCCAGATAAGAAACAATCAGGACCAACTTCCCCCAGATGGGAAGCAGCCAGGCTTTGAAGATGAAAGGTCATTTAATGCTAATCAAGATGGCCTCCCTCCAACCTTGCGCGCTCTCCTTCGTCTGCACCACACTGCCATGCACCGGGCACGCCTGCTCTCCCCTCCCCACTTTGAGTCTCAAAAATAGCTCTTCTCTTGGCTGAGAGGCTGGCCAATCACAGCAGGGGAGGGCTTTTGGTGGGAGGATTTGCCGTCTGGATCCAAAAAGGAAGAGAAGGACAGGCGGAGAGATCTTCAGCCTTATCTGCCAAAAAGGTTCCTAAAACCATTAGAAATATGTTTTCCGATTAGCTTTGGCGACCCCTCTGAAGCCCGCTCATGACCCCCCAGGGGTCCCAACCCCCAGGTTGAGAAACACTAGTATAGACTAAGAGTTTCCCTTCCCCCATGCTGCCTTGTGAAAGTTGGAATGTATCTAATTGCTTCTTTCCTCTCTGTTTCTGCTCTCATTCTGATTGGTTGTTTAAAATGGATATTTTTCTATTGCAAGCCTTTTAAAATGTGACTTCTTCCTTCTTACACTTCAGTATGGAGAGTATGTACTGTGTGCTTTGAGATCTCTCTCTCTGCTTGTGTGTCAGAAGAGATGTAATGATTTGTGGGTTGTTGTAGGTTTTTTCGGGCTATATGGCCATGTTCTAGAGGCATTCTCTCCTGATGTTTCACCTGCATCTATGGCAAGCATCCTCAAAGTTTGCGAGGTCTGAGGATACTTGCCATAGATGCAGGCGAAACGTCAGGAGAGAATGCCTCTAGAACATGGCCATATAGCCCGAAAAAATGTACAACAACCCAGTGATTCCGGTCATGAAAGCCTTCAACAATATGTAGTGATTTGTGTTTTTCCCTCTCTTTGAAACCTTAGAAGAGATGGTTGTTAGAGTAACTCAGACCCAGTTCTTGATGATTAAGAAACACAGTTATTTCTTATTATTGTAAGTAAACCTTTTGTGATTTTTTAAGGATTGGACTTTGCATGTTTGCCTCCTAAGCTCTGAATTCTTTACAGCCATATCACATAGCACTTCATGCTCTGCTCGCTAATGAGCTGATGCTCAACTTTGGTATTTTGTTTGTTTTTGGATGCTCTGCTATATTTAGGATAGTTTTCCCTAACACTATCATTCCCTCAAAGACAAAATGGGAATTAGAATCCAGCTATAATTGGAGGATTATAAGTTGCCTCTGGACATGCTCCAGAGCAACCACTTCAAAGCCATCACTTCCCTGCCGCTTGCCCACTAACACTATCCTTTGTTGTTGTTCATTCGTTCAGTCATTTCCGACTCTTTGTGACTTCATGGATCAGTCCATGCCAGAGCTCCCTGTCGGTCATCACCACCCCCAGCTCCTTCAAGGTCAATCCAGTCACCAGGATACCATCCATCTACTATCCAGGATACCATCCATCTACTATCCTTACCAAATCAAAATCTTCAACCTGCATCTGCTTGAGGCCTATAGAGATCTCCCCCTCTGAGGCTTCGGGGATTCTGGTAGTGATGGCACTGCAGAAAGAGAGGGGGGAGTGTCACTATCTGGCCATCTGCAGTTAGCATGGCGTACCAATGCTTTGAGAGTAACACAAAAGGCAGGAAAGGAGCTGCCCGCCATCCTCTCCCCTTTTTGCTCAACACAGGGGTGGGAATCTGGCAAGAAGAAGAAGAGGAAGAGGAAGAGGAAGAGGAGGAGGATGATAAAAAACAACAACAACAACAACAACAACAACAACTTTATTTTTATACCCGGCCTCCACCTCCCTGAAGGGACTTGGGGCAGCTTACATGGGGCCAAGCCCAAACAACATAAAGTTAAAATATCTATATAAATAAAAATGTAATGTTCGTTCATGGGATTAACATAACTCAAAAACCACTGGAAAATGGAGATAAAATTTGGACACAATATACCTATCAGGCCAACAAGTGACCATCACTCATAAAAACACTGAAAAACAAAGCAGAAGAGGCTTTTAAAAAGCCAAAAAAAATGCATTACAACACATGCACCACATATATACACAAACATATATACACACACACAAAACACATATACACAGACTGGGCCACAGCAACGTGTGGCAGGGGAAGGCTAGTAGCAAATAAAATATTAAAATAACATAAAAACAACAACATGAACAATAATAAAACAAGCATCATACRCAACAAACAGAAATACTTCAAGTCTCATTTGGGGCTGGGGGGGGGGGGGCTGGTGTGCAAACAAGTTAAAGAATAGGCTAGCCAATAAGGTGGATAGAACATGTAACAACATAGGAATAGTAATGTTATGTTGTTTATTTTATTGCWATTTGTATTGTTATATTGTGAATCTTGTTCGGGCTTGGCCCCATGTAAGCCGCTCCGAGTCCCCTTTGGGGAGATGATGGCAGGGTATAAATAAAGATTATTATTATTATTATTATTATTATTATTATTATTATTATTATTATTATTATTATTATAGAGCAGTTGTGACAGGGTCATTTTAAGTTAGAAGTGCAGTAATCAGATACAGGAACTTGATTTTAGGCCATGGTCAATGGAATCGTCAATTGAATGCACAATGGAACATCCACATCTTTAGTCCCTTGCAAAACGTGGATAGGGAGGGTGCCAGCCTGATCTCCTTGGGGAGGGAGTTCCAGAGTCGAGGGGCCACTACCGAGAACACCCTTTCTCTCATCCCCACCAACCGTGCCCGAGACAGGAGTGGGAGCGAGAAGAGCCTCCCCAGAAGACCTTAGAGATTGTGTGCGCTCGTAGGGGAAGATACGGTCACAAAGATAGGCAGGTCCTGAACCATCCTGAATAATACAACTGCTGTTGGACTGCAAGTCCCAGCAGTCTTAACCTGCATAGCCAATGGTGAAGAATGACGGAATTGCAACCCAGCAGCCTCTGAAGTACCTATTACTTCCAGCCCAGCAAGGGAAAGAAGACGAAATTTGCAAATTTTAACTCACCAATAGGTAGCAGTCGGACGTTTTGCTCTCTGAGACCGAATATAGAAGTCCTGAACACGGCGGACAGTATTTACACAACCGGAAAGCAGAACAAGCCCAGAACTCTCCCTAAGGAAGATACAAAGTGTTTTGAAACTATCTGAGAGAAAACATCAATAGCTCATTCTGTGGACAGGGGACCTGGGCAGAAGATGTGACTTGACTCAAACCATTCAATCCATTTAAAGCGGAGGTGGGACTTGAAGTCAGGTCCTGGTTGTCTTCTACTACCAGATGAAAAACAGCATCTACAGAGTGCTTCCACATCAGTGCTATGAGTACAGCTCTGCTTCTCAATTTTATTTAAACACTGATATCTCATAAGCTCAAACACTGATATCTCATAAGCTCAAAGAAGCTTCCAACAGTATTCATAGTTTTCTACTCAAAATAATACTCCCCTCACCAGGGCAAGAAAACATAATCAAAGCCCTCCTGACAAAGAGACATCCAGCCACAGATATGGATAGATATATATGATTCACAGAGACACAGATATAGTATCATAGATTTGAAAGGGACCTCTAAAGAAAGACAATGATATGTTGCATGTTCCAGAGTAGGCAAACCAGACAATCTCCACTGACAAAGAAACAGCAAGAAATACTGTTTACCCACAAGCAGAAAGAAATCACATATATTAGAAACACTTTCTCATTACTTTATTTTCCAGATCACCAGACTGGGCCACAGCAACGCGTGGCAGGGGATGGTTAGTAACTAATAAATATCTTGCTGTAAACAATCTGTCACCAATTAATCCTGCCAATCATTTTCTTCTCCATCTCCAAAGCCACTACTTACTTTCCTGCAGCTTTGATCACTTGGAGATTCTGAGGGAGCCCCAGCTTTTGGCTTAGATATGGCAGAAGAGAGAGTAAAGTCACTTCCTCTGGCCTACCTGTTGTAAACATGGAAAAAGAAAAAAAAAGGTTAATGTTGTGTCTAACTAGGAACCTAATCTTCTCTAGGTCTCACTCCTTAGGTTGGTGCCCACTAGATCCCACATGATCCCCAGCTAGTTGGGATGGGATGTATCTACTCTATAAGCCTACCGAGTCAATTTTAAATTGTGAATTTTAAATCTGTGTTCTATTTTTATTGTATTCAGGTACTATTAGTAATCTTTGTACCATGTATTTTAGAACGTGCATGCTATGGTAATGTGTTTTATCTGGGGGTTTTATTATTATTATTATTAATAATAATAATAATAATCGTCATCATCTTTATTTATATCCCACCACCATCTCCCCAAAGGGGACTCGGAGCAGCTTACACGAGGCCAAGCCCAGCAATACATTACAGCAAAATAAAATATAAACAACAAAAATAACATCACAATAAAATAAATAAGCCAATCAAGTAAAATAAACAGTGTAAAATAACATAAAGGAAAATCAAACACAGTGGGCGGGCCAAATGCATGGCATAAAATGATAAAACTCTGGATGAGATAGCAATGAAAAAGGTATACTTGTGGGGAAGGGGCTCATAGGGGACTGAACAGTGGAATTAGACTTTCAATAAGGTGGGAGGAAGTGCAAAAAGAGGAAAACAGTGTAGGTGAAACAACAGGACTGGAATATATATGGTCACTCTCCAGAACTGTGTTGTACCTCACCTCAACCTGTGAGATGAGAACAACAACAACAACAACAACAACAACAACAATAATATCACTCTATCTCCCCTAGGGGACTCAGGGCAGTTTCCACAGACAAACATGAAATGTACAGAGTAGCCATTAAAATATAAACATAATCTGTTAACAAAATACTACGCATTAAAACAAACCAATTTCATAAACCGTTGTGCAAACGCCCCACTTATATGTGGGCCAGGACAGGATGAAAGGGCTGATGAGGGTTCCTATAGAAGTAATGATAACAAAGTATTATCTCCACCATCACCATCATCATTACAATACGACATACCATCCACAGGCAGGCCAGGCGGTTTGTTGATGGCCACAAGTACATCTGAAATACAAAACAACCAGTAACGTCAGAGATAAATCTTGATGTGGTTAATTTAGGCCTTTTTTATGCTGGAATTGCCTTCGCCAAAATTCAGAGCAAAGAGAGAAGTCTGAATGGGATTTTCAATAGTGGGATTATTTTTTGTTAAAACAGAGCTCCCTGTTCTCCTCACATTACTTAAACTAGAGAATGGAATACATAGGAAAATCCTTTACGTACAGAAGGTCAGGAACAAACACTGGGAAGAAGTTTTCACCAAAATCAAAGTGAGAAGAGTCCAAGAGGGCCATCTATCCTGCCATGCAAGAATACACAATCAAAGCACTCCTGACAGATGGACATCCAGCCTCTATTTAAAAACGTCGGGTTTTTAAACAAAGACTGGATGGCCATCTTTCAGGAGTGCTGTGGTTGTGCATATTCCACTGTCAAACAGCTCTTATAATTAAGAAGTTATTCCTAAAGTTTAGTGAAATCTCTTGTTATGCAATTTGAATCTGTTGCTCCATGTTCGTGTCTCCAAAGCAGCAGAAAATACGCTTGCCCCCTTCTCAATGTGACAGCATTTCAAATACTGAAACATGACTGTCATGTTTACTCTTCACCTTCTCCTCTCCATGACAAATATACTCAAGTTCCCTAAGCCAAACTCAATAAATTAATTTTACATAATATATATAAAAAAGATATCCTCTTTCATCCCCGCTAAGCTGTAGAAAAACGGTAAACAACTTCTTCTCCTGATGTTGCTTTTTCTTCTTCTAATATTTATATACTACTTTTTTCTCTTACATAAACTTAAAACAATGAAAAACAGAGGAAAAACAATACAATATGCTATTTAAAACCTTGAACATTAACACAATTAAACCTGCTGTTCTCTAGCTGTTGTTGTTGGACTCAAAATTCCCATCAGCCACAGCCAATATGCCCCCTGGTTGGGGATTATGGGCGCAGAAATGCAACATCTGGAGGACCATAGGTCCTTTATATCCCTTTATAAGAGACCATATACCTACCATCTCTGTGCACCAGTGATTCTTCCAGCAGTTTCAGCAGTTCTTCACAACTCAGAGGTTTTCCAGGTCCCAAGATACTTTTTGCACTGGAATGGCCTCCCGCTGGTTTCTCCAAACTTCGTTGCTTCAGCAGCATCTGGTACCTGCAAGACGGGAGCTGTAAGAAGTGGTTTCTTTCACCACCTTTTTTCCAGAATTCTTTAACTATGTTGCAGGTCCACCATACGTGGAAAAAAAATCCCTTCACCTTCTTGCATCTCCAGCAAGCCCCTTGTCCTGTTTTATCTATTTTGGCTAGTAACTCTGGTGTTATGTAGGTTCTGTAAAACATTTTAAACCTCACCTCTGAGGATGCTTGCCATAGATGCAGGCGAAACATCAGGAGAAATGCCTCTAGAACATGGCCATATAGCCCGAAAAAACCCACAAGAATTTAGTGATTCCAGCCATGAAAGCCTTCGACAATACATTTTAAACATATTTTCTCTAATTGAGCTGGCCACTGAGAATCTAAAACCCTTATTCCAAAGATGTTCCCACTCTTCCAGATCAATATTTCATCAACTTCTGAAGAGGTTTATCTACATGGATAGAGTAAAACCATTTTAAATCTCTCATAAAAGAACATTATGTGAGTTGACACAACGGATCACATTTTACATATATTGTTCTGAATTAAGAAGAGTAAGCTATTTGTTATTCATTGTTCATCTGCATGGCATATTTTCTTTCTCTGGCAGGCAGTGTGTGGGCTGACAAAATGTGAACTTTACATGGATTATTTTACATTATGCCACACCTACAAAGCTCTCAAACTGTTCTCCATAGCATGTTTCCATGGCAGTTAAAGTGGAGACATAGCACGACAAATGTGTATGGTGAAAGCATCTTAAATTGCTCCATGTTGCTAGGAGGTGCCCCTCTTTCAATTTAAAATCTTATGCTTCCATAGGATGCTGCCATGGCGGTTTAAAGTGGGATAAAAGCGCTACACCAGCCTAGTGTGGACAATATGACTAAAGGGATACAATATGTGCGGGGTGGCAATCGACCCTGGCTGCACCTAGAATGAATGTACTTTGACACCACTTCAAATGCCATGAGAAGAGGTTATAGACTCCTGGGAGTTGTAGTTTTACAAGGTCTTTAGCTTTATCTGCCAAAGAGGGCTGTTGCCTCAATTAACTACAAATCCCAGGGTTCCACAGCATTGAGCCACTGCAGTTAAAGCGCTGTCAAACTGCATTAATTCCACAGTGCAGAGGGAGCCTCTCTCTTACCAGGCCCGCGTACTGAAAGGCGCCCGCATTCCTTTACAGAGCCTCCAAGGCTTGGAGCGAAACATTGCGGCCGAGCAGCTAAACAGCCTCCGTTTCCTCTCAGCCACGAGAAAGAGTGAGTGACGCTATTGGATAAGACGTGCAAGAGCCTTAGGGCGAACCACCAATCAGAGAAAGGCGGTCTCTTACTCTTAAAAAGCATTGGACTTCAACTCCCAGAAGCCTCAGCCAGCTTAGCCAATGGTTAGGAATTCTGGGAGCTGAAGTTAAAAAAAATAATACCCTGGAACATCGGAACCAATAGGGAAGCGCTTAGAACGCATGCGCACGAAGACATTAGGGAAGCGCTTAGAACGCATGCGTACGAAGACCACGCTTCATCCCGTTTGTTGTTTTTCTTCTTCTTTTTGGACTTCAACTCCCAGAAGCCTCAGTCAAGGCGGCCAATACTATAGAATTCTGGGAGCTGAAGTCCAAACTTTGCTTGGAGGCTATCTCGAAAGAGAGGGGGGGAAGGGGGGAGGTTAAAGCGCATGCGCGCGCTTGGCGTTCCACCTGTCCCAGGCTTGGGCTTCTGGAAAGATGGCTTCCCGCGCGGGGCCGCGAGCCACGGGGACCGACGGCAGCGACTTCCGGCACCGGGAGCGCGTGGCCCAGCACTTCCAGATGAGGTGGGAGGAGCGGAAGTAGGCCTCAAAGTGGGCCTTCCTCGCCTTTTCTTTGGTGTCTTGGCTTTCAGGCCTGTGCCTGGGGTTGCCTGAGTCACTGATTCAGAAAATGGCATTGGATTGAGCACAGCAGCTCTAGTTTCAGAGATATGGTTATCATGGTTTTCTGTGAGAGAGCAGGTGGTGACTATTAGATGGCCTAGGTTCTGTATCTCACACAACTAGAGATGCTAATGTAGGCCTGGGCAAACATGGGCTCTCCAGGTGTTTTGGGTTTCAACTCCCACAATTCCTAACAGCTTCAGGGCCTTTCCTTGCCCCCCTCAGCCGCTTAAGCGGTCTCAGTCTGTGAGAAGGCCTCACAGTGTGAGAATGCCTTACGAATCGATTCGTTAATGGCGGACGCGACCGCGCAATACGCTAAAAAATCCTCCAAATGGGACAGGGGGAACTTCTGAAGCTTCCCTTTCCCTCTGTTGTTGACTGTTGGTGTGATAATTATATATTTTTTTCACTGATAAAACAAACAACAACTATAAAACTTGCACCAGACATGCGGAAACAATTACGAAACAATTACGAAACGAATTGAAAAATTCGTTTCGATTTTTAGTTGCTCCTGAATGGTTCAATATCGCTTCGTTATAAAAAAATAACGAATTAATAACGAATTACGAAATTAACGAACGAAACCGCCCAGCCCTAGGCCTCACAGTGTGAGGAATGCCTTAGTCTGTGAGAGAAGGCCTCACAGTGTGTTTATTATTCTCAATTCTTCTTTTTATTATTAAAGCTGTGGATAGTTGAATACATGTATTCTTCAACCCATTCTTGTGCTGGAAGCAAAGATACAAAATGGGGGACAATGCCTGGCTCGAGAGCAGTACGTGTGAAAAAGATCTTGGAGTCCTCGTGGACAACAAGTTAAACATGAGCCAACAATGTGATGTGGCGGCAAAAAAAGCCAATGGGATTTTGGCCTGCATCAATAGGAGCATAGTGTCTAGATCCAGGGAAGTAATGCTACCCCTCTATTCTGCTTTGGTTAGACCACACCTGGAATATTGTGTCCAGTTCTGGGCACCACAATTCAAGAGAGATATTGACAAGCTGGAATGTGTCCAGAGGAGGGCGACTAAAATGATCAAGGGTCTGGAGAACAAGCCCTATGAGGAGCGGCTTAGGGAACTGGGCATGTTTAGCCTGAAGAAGAGAAGGCTGAGAGGAGATATGATAGCCATGTATAAATATGTGAGAGAAAGCCACAGGGAGGAGGGAGCAAGCTTATTTTCTGCTTCCTTGGAGACTAGGACGCGGAACAATGGCTTCAAACTACAAGAAAGGAGATTCTCTGAACATGAGGAAGAACTTCCTGACTGTGAGAGCTGTTCAGCAGTGGAACTCTCTGCCCCGGAGTGTGGTGGAGGCTCCTTCTTTGGAAGTTTTTAAACAGAGGCTGGATGGCCATCTGTCAGGGGTGATTTGAATGCAATATTCCTGCTTCTTGGCAGGGGGTTGGACTGGATGGCCCATGAGGTCTCTTCCAACTCTTTGATTCTATGATTCTATAGTTGTAGTCCTTTGCTGAGCTGCAACCATAAAGGAGCTTTCCAAGGTCCTGAAACCTAGCTCCCGCAACGAGTGCTGTATTTGTTTGTATATATTGTGATTGTTTTTCGAAAACCCTGTCAGTCCGAATAATTTATTATTATCTTAGGAGCCCCCTGTGGCGCAGTGGGTTAACCCCTGTGCCGGCAGGACTGAAAGACGACAGGTCGCAGGTTCAATACCGGGGAGAGGCGGATGAGCTCCCTCTATCAGCTCCAGTTCCTCATGTGGGGACATGAGAGAAGCCTCCCACAAGGATGATAAAACATCAAATCATCCGGGAGTCACCTGGGCAACGTCCTTGCAGACGGCCAATTCTCTCACACAGAAGCGACTTGCAGTTTCTCAAGTCGCTCCTGACACGACAAAAAAAAAGCTTATTTGAAGGGCCATATATATCTTTATGAGCCTATTTGAACACTGATCATCTGGAGGAATAATAATAATAAAACTTTATTTATACCCCACCACCATCTCCCCAAGGGGACTCGGGGCGGCTTACATGAGGCCATGCCCAACAATACAGTAAAACAATGTAACACAAGAACATTACAAAAAAAAAGAAAATAAAATAACATAAGATACAAAAACCAATATAAGTAAACAACACATCAATATAAAATCAGAACATTAAAACACTGAAAATAATCACAGTGAGCATGGTGTTCATCACTGATCATCTGGAGAAAACCTTTTTTATCATTGATATTTTATTAAGGGATAAAATAGGGGTACATTGGCAGGTTATTTTTTTAAAACTTTTTTTTTGTTCTAGCACCCTCTCAACCTTGTTTGATGGGAGCAATGGCAACAGGGCTTTTTCAGTATCTGCTCCCAAACATTTAAAGTCTCTCCCTAGAGCAGGCATAGGCAAACTTCAGCCCTTCAGGTGTTTTGGACTTCAACTCCCACAATTATTAACAGCCACAGGCCCCTTCCTTTCCCCCCTCAGCCGCTTAAACGAGCTCAGTCCTTGAGAAGGCCGCACGGTGTGTTTATTATTCTCCATTGTTCTTCTTCGTATTATTATTATTATTATTATTATTATTATTATTATTATTATTATTATTATTATTATTAGAAACACAACAAGATGAGTCCACAGCAGACACTCTGCTGGCTGTTGTATTGGATCACACATCGGACACTTCCCAAGTGTCTAGGACTGTGTGATGTATTGGCGAATAATGTGTGCAGATCCCAATAAGGTGGCCTTTTGCAGCTGGCAGATGGTAATTTTGTCAGCAGCGATTGTGTTTAAGTGCAGGCCAAGGTCTTTAGGCACTGCACCCAGTGTGCCGATTACCACTGGGACCACCTTTACTTGTTTGTGCCAGAGTCTTTGCAGTTCGATCTTTAAATCCTCATATCATGTCAGCTTTTCCTGTTGTTTCTCGTTAATCCTGCTGTCACCTGGGATTGCAACATCGACAATGCATACTTTGTTTTTTAACACAATCGTGAGGTCAGGAGTATTGTGGTCCAAAACTCTTTGTCAGTCTGAATCTGGAAGTTCCAGAGTATCTTGACATGTTCATTCTCTGTAACTTTTTCTGGCTTGTGATCCTACTAGTGCTTTGTCACAGGCAGATGGTATTTGAGGCACAAGTTGTTGTTGTTGTTAAAGCTGTGGATAGTTGAATACATGAATGCAGAATCCGTGGACATGGGAGAACTCTTTGTATCCTTAATACCGTATTTCTTCAATTCTAAAACTAATTTTCTTTCCTATATAAACACATCTAAAAATGGGGTGTATCTTAGAATCGCAGGTGTATCTTGTGTATTTCATTATGGTACTGAAATTAGGGTGCATCTTATAATTGATGGCATCTTACAGATGATGAAATACGTGGCGTATTTCCATGGTTTGCATTATTTCTCTCTCCGTTTGCTTCCCAACAGTGTCTCCCTCAAGTCTGAGATCAAGAAGCTGATCTACATGCAGGTGGCTCTGTGGCTACTGGTGGCAGCGCAGATGTGTGTGGCACACTTCAAGCTCTTATCCCACGATCAGGTAGCCATGCCTTACCAGTGGGAATACCCCTACCTCCTCAGCATCATCCCTTCACTCTTTGGCTTTATCTCCTTCCCCCGGAACAACATCAGCTACTTGGTCATCTCCATGATCAGCACCGGCCTATTCTCAGTGGCTCCCCTCATCTATGGCAGCATGGAAATGTTCCCCATGGCACAGCAGCTCTACCGCCACGGCAAGGCTTACCGCTTCATCTTCGGTTTCTCCGCAGTCTCAGTCATGTACCTGCTGATCGTGGTGGCCGTGCAGGTTCACGGCTGGCAGCTCTATTACAGCAAGAAACTCCTGGACTCCTGGTTTACCAGCACACAGGAGAAGAAGAAGAAATAAACATATGCCGGGGAGTTGCATGCCTGCAATGCTGCCTTGGGGCCAAGGGTGGGAGCAAGGGGGTGCCCTCCCCAAGCAGAGGGGGAGAGGGGGCTGTTGGGTGCTCTCTGTCATCCCCACCCAGCTAAGTGGAGAGGTGGTGCCATGGAAGCCAAGTGAACATTGCATCGTTTGTAGGTTTCTTCCAGTCCGTCCACTCTGGTAAAAGGAGACAGACTAGGGCAATCCTGCCTTGGGACCAGTTTATGAGATTCCTCAATCCATATGATATTGGGACACTTGAAAGGGACAATGCCAACTGCAGCCAACATGGGTGGATGAGGGAGAATGCAGTTCCATATTGGTTTGCATAAACATTGGCTTGTTCCAAGCAGCTTTGCACTTGGGAATTGGTACATCTTAGGAAGATTACTTTTATTTTGGATAGTGAGGTCATCTACACTGTAAAGTGAATGCAGTTTTACACCACTCCTAACTGTCATGGCTCAGTTCTAGGTGAAGGATTACAAAGAATGCTGGTGCCCCCCCAACCTGCAAATCCCATAATTCCATAGCATTAACCCACGGCAGTTAAAGTGACCTCAAACTGCAGTAATTCTACAGTGTAAATGCACCCCTAAAGAAAAATGCCCAAACTCTTAAAAGTTTTGAATTAAATTTTTGCTCAGCAAGGTGTGCATCTACACTGTAGAATGAATGCAGTTTAACACCACTTTAACTACTATCGCTCCATTCTATGTAGTTTTACAAAGTCTTCAGCCTTTTCTGACAAGGAGTGATGATGCCATACCAAACGAGACATCCCATAATTCCTCAGCGTTGAGCCATGACTGTTAAAGTGGCACCAAATTGCATTCATTCTACAGTGTAGATGCATCTTGTCACTCACATAATTTCTTGGTGCAAGAAGTCTGGGATTTGTAGTCAAAGTGTTCCAATTTCCCCCTAAACTATAGGAATAAGTGGTCATTTTTATAATGGTGAGAAAACATAGTGTGGCTAGGGATCCTTTGCACCCATTGGATCTATTGGGAATGTTTCAGCCCTCTTCTGCACCAAAGGAAGGGGACTGCATGCAATTCTATAGCCAGGGTAGCACCTCTTCCTTGCTCTAGTGCAGGCATGGGCCAACTTGGGCCCATCCAGGTGTTTTGGACATCACCTCCCACAGCCAGTAGGCTGTTAGGAATTGTGGGAGTTGGAGTCCAAAACACCTGGAGGGCCCCCGTTTTTCTCATGCCTGCTCTCGTGGAAGAAATACTTCCTTGCTTCACTGCAAAGACATTAGCAGCATTGCCAAGCAGTTGTGTTTGACTCTTTCTTTTGCCAATTGCGGAATAACTGACTGTGCCTCTCGAAGCTAGTCTTGCTTTCCCTATTTATGCAGGCTACCCTGACAGATACTCCCTACCTCCTTTCACCTTTTCTTCAGGCGACCAGTGGCTCAGGCAGTGGCTGTCACCTCCTTCCTTGCCAATGGGCTTTCTCTGTAACTGTGTACATCTGTACCAAATAAAGAGCTAACATGATATATTGCAGCTGGGTCTTTTGTGAATGGAGGGCACCAGCCAACTGCTGCATCTAGTTGCTGCTACATTACTCTCCCTCTTTGTTACTCATTGAATATTACCAAAAATTCTACTGATGTTTTATTAAGCCCTATTAAGCAAACACACAAATCCATCAATACACAGCAGAATTAACCAGTAACAAATGTCCATGTAGACAGAAGATACAATCCAGTACAAAGTACAGTAGGTGGTGCTCACAAATAGTTACTCAGCTCAGCTATAAGTCAAGGGCAGATTTTAGAGCCAAAATTAATGGATTTTAATATGGCCTGTGGATAAGTTGAGGGTCATTCTGCAGAGGGGAAAACAACAATGTATTGGGCATTAAAATGTCAGAAATGACACCTTGACAGAGAAAGTAGGAGGGTTGGTACTTTGTTTATAAGTAATCTAAGCTCTTGCCTTTTGCCACTTTACTCAAAGAAAAGGATGGTTCCTATTTTTATTTTTTTTAGAAGACAGTACAGTACTCACATTGGAGCTCCTGGTGGCGCAGCGGGTTAAATTGCTGAGCTGCTGAACTTACTGAGCAAAATGTTTGCGGTTCAAATCCAGGGAGCAGGATGAGCTCCCTCTGTGAGCCCCAGCTTCTGCCAACCTAGCAGTTCAAAAACATGCAAATATGAGTAGATCAATAGCTACCATTCTGGTGGGAAGGTAACATCACTTATGCAGGCCACATGAGCTTGGAAAACTTCAGCTCTTCGGCTTAGAAATGGAGATGAGCATCATCCTCAGAGTTGGACACGACTAGACTTAATGCCAAGGGGAAACCTTTACTTTTATTCACATCGATCTGTGGATGACTCAACTCAGGCTTTTTAGATTGACTTTTTACAAAAATTTCTAGGGTTATACATGAGTATATAGATTATTATAAAAGTGACTCATTCACCATCTGATGATATACAAATATGAAGTGAGACAATAAAAGCCAGTGAATGTATTGCTTTTCCTGCCTTTGTTCTTCTGCTGACAGATTGCTTCCAGAAGAGAACAAGGATTTCATTGTGCAGTTCATGGGATTTTACAAGGGTCTATAATTATATTTCACTTGTAACTCATTTCACTTGTAACTATATTTCACTTGTGATTTCCCAGCACATTTCCCATCTGTTTATCTTAACACAGAAAACTCATTAAATAAGGGAATATAGAACAGTTCCATACCTCATTAGAGCTATGAGTTTGTCCACCAACCTGTCTCTAGAACATGTTAGGCTTCTTGAGTGTTGAGAAAAAAAAATGAAATAATATTAAATCATAGTATAAATGATCAGCATTTCAGTTCAGTTACTCTGAAGTTCCAAGTGTTGCAGAAGAGGAAGTTTCAATTTGCTTCAAATTTCTCAAATGTCATGGAGGAAAGAAATTACCACAAAAAGATTGAAAGACAGAAAATGAAGTCCTAGGGATAAATGAGAAGGCCTAGGGAAGCTGAGTTCCATTCTTTGACTTTGGGCCCTTCCACATGGTTATATAAATCAAAATATCAAGGCAGATAATCCACAATATCAGCTTTGAACTGGATTATTTGAGTTCACACTGCCATATAATTCAGTTCAATGTGGATTTTATACGGCTTTGGGTGCAGAAGGGGCCTCTTTTGCATCCTCAAATTGAGCCCAAGTATCTGCAGAAAGAAGTGTTATAAGATATAATCCCGGCGTTGTTACTTCTTGCCTCTTTTCTTTGGAAACAGAAGCAGGATGCAGCAGGCTGGATTGGATGCTTCCTCTGGATCAAACACACAAACATCAGGTTATTTAGTAGTCAATGCAATTTTTGGCCTTTGTGTTGGCCCGCTCAATACGAGATTTATTGGTCTCCGCTTTCTTGTTTATCCGGTCGACCTGTTTGTTTTGTTCATCAAGCACATTGCCCATCTCCAATGCCATATTTTTCAGATTCCCAATGATGTTTCCCACTTGCATAAGATTTTTCTCTGTCTTCCAGTCTCTGGCGTCATTTGCTTCCTGTGCTTTGCAACCTCTGCTTCTTGCTTCCAATAACTCTTGCTTCTTGAGATGTATTGCACACCTTGGTTGTTCAGATACTACACGGTGGTTTAAGTCCCCTTCATCATCCAAAATTGTCTTGCGGGGTTTCCTTACTGCTTCCTTCCTGTTCTTGGAAAGACAGACGTTGAGGCCACAACATTTGCTGAGCTCCATCAAGCTCTTCTCTGCTTCTTTCACGTCTTTATATGGTCCATGCCTCCTTCTATATGATTCAGTTGTTCCCCTTGTTCATCCAGCATAGTGATGATTTTGATCCCTGCATCTTGGCATTCAGAAGCCAAGCGAAAAATCGTCTCTGCATGTTCTAAAGACTCATCTGTGAGCTGATGGACTCTCAGTTGAATTTCTTCAGATGACAGTAACTCAGCCATGATTGACACCTATTTTTGAGACCAAAAAACGGGATCTTGCATAATTTCAGAGGTGAAAAGTCCTTTTCCTTTCCAGCTCCAGTTTCTGGGGTTCAGCAAGGGATGTTCCACTCAATGCATAGGAACATGTCTCATTTCAGGTCTACAGGTGAAGCTTTCCCTTGGCTGGTTGCCTTCATCCTTTCCTCTCTGGTCCTTCTTTTAAATAGATTACTAAATTACGACCTCTCCGAACCGCACCATATGTCCTGTAAAATGAGACAACTATTCCAGGCTTTCAGGTTTTTATCTTTTTTGTTATTAGAAGAGGCCGTTTGTTTCCAGGCACCATTGAAAGTGACCTTTAAGGCACAAATACAAAGATGCGCAAGAAGGTAGATCTGGAAAGATTTGCAGTTGATTGCCCATGATTTATTACTATCAGTAAATAGCGTGAATCCTTCCCACCGTCAAGTGAGTTAGGCTGCTGAAATGAATATAACTTGGAGTATCCAGGTATAATGTATGTGTATATTTCATTCATTTATCTTTTTATGCTACCCTCTTATTGTGAGATTTCAGAGCTGAATAGGACTGCTGGGAATTGCAGTCCAACAATATCTGGAAACCATGCCCTATGAGGAGTGGCTGAAAAACTCTGCAGAAGAGAAGGGGTGTATGTGTGTGTAGAGAGAGAGAGAGAGAGAATGAGACACACACACATCTTTAGGATATGTGTGTTGTTGTTGTTCATTTGTTCAGTTGTTTCAGACTCTTAGTGACTTCATGGACCAGTCCACACCAGAGCTCCCTGTCGGTCGTCACCACCCCCAGCTCCTTCAAGGTCAGTCCAGTCACTTCAAGGATACCATCCATCCATCTTGCCCTTGGTAGCCCCCTCTTCCTTTTCTTTCCGTTTTCCCCAGCATCATTGTCTTCTCTATGCTTTCCTTTCTTCTCATGATGTGATCAAAGTACTTCATCTTGGCCTCTACTATCCTTCCCTCCAGTGAGCACTCAGGCTTTATTTCTTGAAGTATGGACTGGTTAGATCTTCTCACAGTCCAAGGCACTCTCAGCACTTTCCTCCAACACCACCCTTCAAAAACATCTATCTTCCTTCGCTCAGCCTTCCCTATGGTCCAGCTTTCACATCCATAGGTGACTACGGGAAATACCATTGCTTTAACTATGTGGATCTTTGTTGCCAGTGTGAGGTCTCTACTCTTAACTATTTTATCAAGATTGGTCGTTGCTCCCCTTCCAAGAAGTAGACGTCTCCTGATTTCCTGGCTGCAGTCTGCATCTGCAGTAATCTTTGCACCTAGAAATACAAAGTCTGTCACTGCTTCCACGTTTTCTCCCTCCATTTCCCAGTTGTCAATCATTCTTGTTGCCATAATCTTGGTTTTTTGATGTTTAGCTGCAACCCAGCTTTTGCGCTTTCTTCTTTCACCTTGATTAGAAGGCTCCTCAGCTCCTCCTCGCTTTCGGCCATCAGTGGTGTCATCTGCATATCTGAGGTTGTTAATGTTTCTTCCAGCAATTTTAATCCCAGCCTTGCATTCCTCAAGCCCCGCACATCGCATGATGTGCTCTGCATACAAGTTGAATAGGTTGGGTTAGAGTATATAACCCTGCCGTGTGCCTTTCCCAATCTTGAACCAGTCTGTTGATCCATGGCCTGTTCTTACTGTTGCTACTTGGTCCTTGTACAGATTCCTCAGGAGAGAGACAAGGTGATTTGGTATGTCCATACCACCAAGAACTTGCCACAATTTATTATGATCCACACAGTCAAAGGCTTTAGAATAGTCAATAAAACAGAAGTAGATGTGTTTCTGAAACTCCCTGCCTTATCCAGTGGATATTGGCAATTTGGTCTCTCGTTCCTCTGCCTTTTCTAAACCCAACTTGTACATCTGGCAACTCTCTCTCCATGTATTGCTGGTGTATACACTATATAAATAAAAATGTAATGTTCGTTTGTGGGATAAACAGAACTCAAAAACCACTGGGGGAATTAACACTAAATTTGGACATAGTGAACCTAACAATGCAATGTATGTCCTTCACTCATAAAAACAATGAAAAACACAGCAGAAGGGACTTAAAAAGCTCCCAAAAGCTAAATGACAGAAAAAAGGGAAGAAAGGGAGGGAAGGGGAGAAAAAAGAAAAAGAAAGAAAGAAAGAGGGAGGGAAAGAAAGAAGGAAAGGGAGAAGGAAGCATGGAAGCAAAGAGAGAAGGAAGGAAAGAGGTAGAGAAGGAAGAAAGGAGAGAAAGGGAGGGAAAGAAGGAAAGAAAGTTAGAGAAGGAAAGAAAAAAGGGAAAGAAGGAAGGAAAGGGAGCGAAGGAAGGGGGAAGATGTAGAGACGGGAGGGAAGGAAAGAAGGAAAGAGAAAAGGAAGATAAGAGATAGCAGAAGAGAGAAAAAGGGGGAAGGAAGGAAAAAGAAGGAAGATGGGAAGGAAAGAAGGAAAGAGGGAGTGAAGGAAGGAGAGAAAGAGGGAAGGTTGGCCACAGCAACGTGTGGCGGGTACAGCTAGTGTATATATAAAAGGTAAATGAATTTTGTGTTCAGAAT